GTGTGTGTGTGTGTGTGTGTGTGTGTGTGTGTGCGCAGCACAGAAGCGAGTGCAGAAGTGAGTTCTATATCGTCTTATTGCAGTTGAATCTTTTGAAATAACAATAAATGCTCATACAGAAATCGAGAAGCAGAATCTAAATTTTAATTTATAACAAGTAATTTGATTCCTGACCTTAAGCATCTGATCTGATTTCCAAAATTGGAATAGCTTTTCGATTCCCAACCCTCCTACTAAATTATTTCACTCTTGCATGCAAAAAAAACTGTATGGTGACTATGGGGCTATGTAAAATATTTTTTTGCAACTTACTAGGTTAATCATTTGTCATTTTTTCCTGATAATATCAATAATCGTCTGTTACCTGACTGTTGACATCGACATTGCGATACTTACAAGATTGACAATATATAAAATGTAAATGCATTATGCAAACACTAACCGACATGGCCAATGAAGACCACGTTAACATGTTCCTTCTTGGGGGCATTTGGCTGTGTGGGGGCTACTTTAGGTGTTGGCACTACTTCTTCTTCCTCCTCCATTCCTTCCTCTTGAGGGGAGTCTTCTTCAGCCTGACCCCCGTCTCCTCCAGGGCTGCCTCCTGGCTCTGCCTCAGCCTTGCTTGGCTCACTCCCTTTCTGCTCCCAGGTGTCATCTGTTGCAATCTCCGCATCACCGTTCTCCATGGGCGGAGCTGATATCAAAACCAACATTATCATTTTACACCATTTATCCAATCATTATCACTGGAGTAGACACTAAGAAACACAAAGTGCTACTAATTTTCCATTTCTGATACCAGCTTCTCACTGAGAAGAATGTCAAACAATATTTATGTTTTCAAACAGCCGTTCAGATTTTTCCCTTCATTACGGTGTTTCTCAAACTACACCAAAATACAAGACTACAGATTGACTATTCACCATCACTTAGCAAAATACTCTGCTCGTGAGCACCACCAAGTCATGGTTTTATGCAACAGCGCCAGAGCTGGGCTTGTGACCAAGACCATGGTTCGTATTGGTTAAACAGTTTTCTTCGCAGAATAATGGAAAAGATATGAAAAACCCTCTCCGTAAAAAAATTGCATTTATGGCACGCAAAAGTTCTTCTTGAACAGAAGCTTTAACATGTTAATTCAAATTAAAATGTTGATCACATTGAATTATTCACACCAAACATCTGTCTTGGTGTGAACAGGACTTTTGTTAAATAGTTGGAAACTGGAATGTGAACAAGCACAAGTTACTAGGCACGGACTCATCTGTATGTTTATTATCATTACCACAGGGATGTGAAGCAAAATGTGGTTGTGTCTCTCAGCATTTACCTACCCTCGGGCTCTGACACTTCCACATTGGCATCTGTATCAGGACCTGCAGGAATATAAAATGCTTATTTTTATAGCTGTAATTACACAGGACAGTCTGGTTGCTAAGAATAATCATCTTAAAAGGAAAATTGCATGTCAACATTCAACATATTTGCAGATAACAAACTGCACTATTTAATAATAGTATGTGAATGGCATATCTTCCACTTGTGGCAAGACAAAACAGTTAAAAGGTCTTCCAACAAACTCCCATTTTTTTTGTCCAAATGACAGTTTTGTTTTGTAATAAGATCACCTATTGAAATTGCCACTTAATAATTTCTCTATTTTTTAATACTTTTATCATACATTGTGTTAAAAACTACCTCTCTTTAGAGTTGTTTTTTTATTGCAAATAAGCTTGGAAAAGTTTAATAAGCAGATAAGATCACGTCACTGCACTTACCTCCATTACACGCTACATTGGTCTTTCTAAGAAGACCTCCAGTGTGCACCTTATGAACAGTATTCAAATACAGCAGCTGACACAAATGCTTCAGGTAAGAGTTTAGAAACTTAGCTGTAATGAAAACATTTAGATGCCTTGACATCAGCCAAATTCTGGTGGTAAATACTTTTCTGGATCAGCCTTTGATCTAAGACTAGATGATGGTGAATATTTCCAGTTTTCTAGTGTCGTGATTTAAGCGGATCAGGGCAACAACTGACTTTCATTGTTACATTTTAACAGCACAACACATAGTGGTACATCATGTTTGCACTAAGACAGCATGGGGGCCAAATCCCACCCTTAAACAATCAGCCAAAAGAGGCCCCTCAAACAAAGCAGTCAAGCAAGGGGAAAAATGGTTGTTTATGATGATATTGGAATGCTAACAAACGGAAGCACCCTTTGAGCAAGTTCACGTAGCGTTAATAAAAAGGCAATAACATGTCGAAAGCTTCAGCAATCTGTCCAGTTAAACAAAATACTAACCGAACACACTTAATTCTTCATCACCAGCCAGGTACATATTGTTATAAGTCTAAAATTGCTTTACAAGCACCTATACACAAAATCTCCACCAAACTGATTCGCTTTCTAGCACGAACAACTGTTACGGTGTTATTACCACGTAAATGAACACTTCTTATTCACGTCAAGCAAGTTTTTCAGCTTGTTAACTTGCAAATTACACGTTGGCCCCGTTTCCGCTTCGAGCTTTTGACGGCAACTCTGATGTAACATCCATGCTAAGCTCATGCGAAAAAGCGTGTGTTAGGCTAGCAGCTAACGCGGCTAACAGTCGTTAAATAGCCGGGAACTCACCCGCTAACTCCACCGTTTCAGCGGAGCCCTTCAGTCGGAAGCCCGGGATGAATTCTGCGGCGTGCACGTTGGGGACAAACGGCTTGGCGTCCACGTTTAGGCTGGCAGCAAAAGCCTTGGAAAGTTGCTCGTCGACCTGGGCCTCGCCATCGTCCTCCTGATCCCAGGAATCAGGGGCAGTGTCTATCGCGTCCATCGCCACACAGCTGCTCCACACACACGCGCTTTAAAGCCACGGACCTGATCACTTTCGTGTCCGGCCTTAGCCGCTGTTAAGGTCACCCCGTGCGTCGTTAAAACTTTCTGTTAGTGGACTGTGGCCTTCCCCCCGTTTGGTTGAAATCAAACAGCCGGTGTCTCTCAGCGGAGGGGCGAGAGAACAGGGAGGTTTGACTAAGCACTCGGAATGAATCCTCGTGTGTGCTGACGACTCCCCTGACCTCGCGGAGCAACAGCGAATGGGATTCTGGGAAATGTAGTAGTTTTGCTTCTGAAAGAATGCGAAAGGCGCCTGAGCGGTGTCGATAATAAACTACATTTCCTCATTATGGATGAACCCAATCGTTTGCTGACCTCTTTAAAAACTCTTTAAGCACCTATTTCCGTTCACCGCAGCTATAAAACTATTACGTGTGAAAATGTATTTGATGTTTTTAAATATGCTTTTAAATGTATTTGAAGCTTAACTTTAAAGTCATATTATAGGCTTTTAATGGTGTGATAAAGCAGCCGTTTTTAACCAACTTCTTCAATTATGTAAAAGTTACCATTAGAAGTTCAGGAGAGTTAAAAAAAAAAAAAAACTCCAAGCTGTTATTTTTGTTTTAATACCATTTTCTTTATTGTCATTTACATAACTGTTCATTGTAAAATAAAACTGTAATTATAAAAACCACTCTATTTTTACTTTGGAAACAATATTTCAAGTCAGCACTTATCTCCCCCAAAGAAAAAATCCCAATGATTTATTGCACCAGTTAAGATAGAATCATTTTGAAAAAGATGAGCAGACCTACAATTACGTTATTCGGTAAGGAAGCACAGTTAGGAAAAGAGCATTTTATGCCCCAAAAATATGGATGGATGTGTTCTAACTTCTAGCTGCAGTGAGTTTACATCTCATGAATAATTCACACAATATTTATATGCTAAATGAAACTACATAATTTCCCCAGTAGCAAAGCTCTTTTTGTGTGTGTGTGTGTGTGTGTGTGTGTGCTAAAACAATTAACAATGGTGTAAACAACAAATAAGGATCTTCATTTCAGTACAGTATATTTAGCCTTCATACACATCCAAACATGTAACAATTACTCAAAGAGGCATCTCTGAAACATTCTTCACAGTGAGAACAGTATAATAATCATTTAACTATTGGTAAAGCCAAAAGTGCTGGATGGATATCTGTTTGAATTAAACTTATTTTACATATAGCAAATGTTACTTATCTCTAAATAGCCTAATGTCCTCCAAGATAATTATTTATAGAATAAATAAATATTCTGCTGTTCTGATTAAAGTGTGACATTCTGTACATGAAAGTGCAATAAGGCTATTGTTAGATTAGAAACAGCTGCATGAAACTTCCTTCTTATACATCTGCCTGTGGAGTGTACATAAAGAAAGACCAGCTTTTGGCAAACAAGACATTTCGACATTAATATACATGACGGTAAGGCCACAATAGCCCTTTTGTTGTGTAAATAATGTGTGGAAATGGATCAGAAAAACCTGTCAGACAAGCCTATAGACGACAAAGATAAGCGTCCAAAACCAAAACGTAACGCCTATGTCACCCATTATGGAAGGATATACTTGCAGTGCACATAAAGAACTGTGAGGAGACCCAATATTATATGATTAACCAAACCTTAAAAAAATGTGCAATTGATTATGTAATAACTAAGAAAAAGGGACGCATTTTCAGACATTATTTCCATGAAATTCCAGTGTTTTGTTATTTGCATTTAAAGCTGCTCCTTTTCTTAATTTCAAGAGTGGTTTGCTCAAGGCATCAAGGTCATGGACGCATATTCCGCCATAAGACAAAGCCAACCTCTGGACATCCATTTAGGAGTGGTCTTATCTAAGGGTGTCTACACTCTCTGTCTCTTGTCCCTCTGGTACACGCTGGTCTGACAAAGCAGTTTCCTCCACTATGTGGACATGACGCTCCTGAGGGACTTCTGCCTCTTCCGCATCATTGGCCTGCACGTGTGCTGCTTCCCTGAACGATTCTTCGAGCTGGTTGACAGAGCTGGTATCACTGACAGAGTCTGAGCCCGCTCCCTGCCGCCGGAAGAGTTTTTGACCTGTGAATCACATGGTATATGATTAACCCCAGAGTTCTGTAAACATCAATGAAAGACCAAATGTGATTTAATTATTTTGTGGGCACAAAGTGATTAGATGTAATTAGGGCCACACTGATCTTAGATCAAGATGTTATCGTTACCTGGAAACCGTTTGGTGATGGACTTGGGGGAATCAAGGGAAGCTTCTTTATTCATCTGGGCTTTTACAGAATACACAGGCTCGGTGCTGTCCAGACAACCTATGGAGGAAAAATAGATGCTATAAAAACCTGAAAACTACAATTAAACCAAAGTTAGTTTGACACTTTGACATTTTTGTGCTTTACAAACTTTTTTAAAGGGGTCATGAAATCAAAATTCCCTTGATCTTTTGACGTATAAGAGGTCATTGTACTATAAAAACATCCTGTAAGTTTCAGAACTCAAAACTTTCTCGTTAGTCTAAAAACAGCTTCTGTTGAAGCCAATCTGCTAAAACGACAGGTTGTGGAATGTGCCAATTTATGATGTAATAGTGTGACTAAACCCCGTCTCCGCAGAAGATGATCAACGAAGATGATCAACGCCTGCTTCTACATCACTGCCTGTTTAGCCCCGCCCCGATTCTTGCATGTAGTGTAAATAACGAGAGAGGCAAACACAGATCTGCGCAGAAACCAAACAATAAAGAAGCTCCGAAGACAAGACGCTGTGCAGTGCCATGTTGTGGAAAAACAGTCTTTGCATCGCCTTCCATCTGATCCCAGCTTTAGGAGAGAGTCGATGAACTTTATTTTTATTGAAGATCCAGAACGCATCAGTAAGAACTTGGTCCTTTGTTCACTTCATTTTACCACGGATTCGTTTACAAACAAGGCACAATCTGACGCAGGGTTTTCAGAAAGATTGAAACTAAAGGACGATGCTGTGGCGACTATATCGGATCTGACAGCAATGTCGCAACACAATTGTGAGTAACTGTTTTTATTAAGTGGTCACTATTGCTTTGTCTGTTATTACAGATCGTTTGATATGTACTGAGTGTTTATGCGTTTTTAACCTAAATCACAGCAGCGTTCATCTGTGAAGGATGTAGGCTGTCAAACATACACAGCTGTTAGCCAATCATAGCAGTGGGCGTTTACTTCCGAGTCTAAAATCCGCCACACCTATTCAAACAGAGCATTCTGATGAAGGGGTTCAATACAGGACAGAATATAGCCTATAACTTCTAAATTATGGTGCTTTTTGATGTAAAAAAAAGTTGATAACATTATAAGTGGACCTCAGAGAACAGTACAAAATAAATAAAGAGACAGATCATGACCCCCTATAGAAAACATCTATACCTTCAGCTAGGTTGAAAGTTCTTCCTTTGACAGAGGCCTGAACTGGGGAGAGCCAGTTAAGCACAGAGCCCACCAGGGGGATCTGTCGAAATACGCCCTGAAAAGTAAATTACATGTGAATATAATTTTCTTTTGAATGATTTCATCAGAAAATTATTATATTTATTAGAATTATATAACCAGCATTGTTGAATTGGAAAATTAATTTCTGAATGTCTTAGTATTTGGTATTTTAGTATTTTGCTTATTGTAAAACCTGATGACCATGTGGTCTATTATCTAAACGGTATCTTCGGAAAAAAGAACATGATCCCACATGAGTCACATGATCAATGTCACATTTATTTGACCTAGAAATCAAGTGAAAGAAAAAAGGAAAACTTCCATTCATTTTACGTCATAAAGTTTCTGGTTTATTTTACAGGTTTAAATGATACTAAAACTTATAAAACGAATATTTCTTGTCCATTTTATGTCATAAATCTTCTGGTTTATTTTACAGGTTTAAGTGAGATTTTGTGGTCTCAAACATTTGGTCCCCACTGTCCCTTTACACTCACCTCCTCCATAAGTTTCTCTTCATTTGCTTTCTGAAGCTGCAGCTCAGCTTCCTGGATGCCTCTTCTCACTATCTCCGTCATGTTCTCAAACAACTAGACACAAACATACACAGATGCATTATATTTTGTCTGATTTTTATTGTCTACTTTAATTATTAAACACCTGTCCAAAACAAAAATCAATGCAAACCTTTCCACTTTCCTCAATGTCTCTTCCAATAGATACTATAGTTTCCACCAGCTCTGCCACATCCAGGTCTTCTGTTGCCATTCCAATAAATATGCCATTTTTCTCCTCACAAAACTCAGGACCTGCACACAAGACTGGTCAGGTCACTGAGTTCATGTGAATTAAAGCAATTCTACAACTGTCAATCATAAGTTCATCAGGAATTTACCACCAGAGAAGTACAGGTCAGTATCCAGCTCCATCAGCTTCTTAAGCAAGTCACTGTTGATCTTCTCCACACTGTGTTGTCTCTTGTCTTCATCCAGGTCTGTGGTTCTGGGCTCATACCTGATAAAAACAAACAACAAACAAAAGAACCTGTTTAGCACTGTAGAAACGTACAACAATGCGAGTTACCTTCTTCGAGTGAGAAATAGAGGATATTAGGGTCACTGTATCCTTTTATCTCGATTTCCAAAGAGCACAAAACTGACTAAATGTATACCTCAAATGCACTCTGGATAAAAGTGTCTGTCAAATGCATGAATGTAATGTAAATGCGCTGTAAACTGAAGCAGGTTTGACTGCAGAGTCTCACCTCACACCTCCAAGACCGGGCCAGCTCAGGTCCTCAATGTACGAGAGTGAAGCTTGTTGTAGGACCTCATCTTTGAAGTCCTGTCTGAAGCGTAGGGTGCAGCTCAGCACTGGAATCATCTCTCCCAGCTTCTCCACAAGTGCAGCCACGTCATTCTCCTGAGTGCCAAGAGCTACACACACATAACACCAGTTAGCATGAACATGTTAACACTAATTGGGTCTCATCACCGCAAAACAACTGACAAGTCATAAAATCACTGATACTTTTATATCTTTGCGCACGAAGGACAAAGAATAGTCCCCTCAAGCCAATATTTTTGCTAAAATATTTTTCTTAAATAATAATAATAATATTAATACTACTACTACTACTAAAAGAAAATTGTAAAATAATTAATAAATATTCTA